TTTAATTACATATATTATGTATGTTTCTAAATATATGTTATCTATATATATTGTAAATATATATGTTTTTGAACACATACATGTAGTCACATACAAAAGCCATATCGGATGGCTAATTGTTTATTTCGGATGGGCTAATTCCTGCCTCTACCTGTTGGTGACATTGCGGCATCTATGGATGAAATGCACACAGCGCTGTTAGGAGTTCGTTTCTGCTTTTCTGCGAGGACCTCTGCATTAGGCCTTAAGTATGTGAAGATAGAGAAGACAAGTGTCTGGTCAGGGAGGTAAGAGGTACACCCAAGAATAAACGTTAGCTCAAGATGGTGAGAGCCAAGGAAGTTCTGTGTCAAAGGAAAGGACCCCAAGGAAGAATTCATATTGAGCAGCAGCCCATCTATTTTCTTATTAAAATTCTCACAAGGTTTTCATGAGGTTACATTATCCTGTTTTTGGACCCAAGGAAGCTTCATTGCAGTGAGATTAATTTGCCCAAAACAAATCAACTGGAGAGCTTGTGCAGGCTCCTGACATTGCCTTGTGTTGTCCCATCTAATTAAAAGATCGTGGGTTTTTTTGGTTGCTGTCTGCAATGACTCGCCCCAACCGGTTCTTTTTTTTTTTAGATGCTAGTACCAGCTTAATACTATTTATGTGATCTTGAGAGAACCCCTTAATTTTTTTTAATTGAAATTATTGGGTGACATTGGTTAACTGGTTCTTGATTAAACTGTGTTCCTGAAGTCTCTTTTTACGGGCTGTTCTCCAGCGTAGATGACAAGCAAAATGCCTTCAGTTCTACCAAACACTCCTTCCGTCTGCCACCAGTCAGACCCAGATTCGCCTACTTTTATTTTAATTAAACCTAAAGGGATTGGTTGAATTAAGCGTTTGTTTCTGTGTCTTCACTCCTACTAAGTTAGGTGGTTGCTTTTGTTGAGGTACTTTGCGGTAAGGGTACTTGGTATTCTCCTATCTCTATTTTTAACGGGGCAAAACGGAGCCATTCTTACTGTTTGTGCCTCAGTGGGAAGTGAGGCTTCGACTTTAACCCAGAGCAGTTTGCTGATGCAGGGCCGTCCACCTTAAACCTGCTTCTGAACAGCAACTCTGATGCTCTGGCGTGAACTCTCTGATGATGACGTGGTCAATATTGTGACATTTCTCAGTATTCTTTTGTTGTTCTTTGCAGGGAAGGTGAGATTTAGGTGAGATTTAAAGGTGAGAGAGGCGTTAAGTCTTCCCATACTCTTCGAGGTTAGCTTGAATTACTAGAGAGTAAAAACTACACTGATATAAAAGATGGAGATTTATAACACAAATAAGAGCATAGTTTATTACTGTATTACCAATTTATAAGTGTTATTTTACATCTGTTTATAATAATAATTATTCATGGTGTAACCAAGGCTAGACTTGATTTTTTTTTGTTTTTTTTTTTTTAAATTACTCCCTTCTGAGTGGATTGCCATTCCAAGGGTTTTTAAATAGTTGCCAACATTTTCATGTTATCTTCTAATCACATGATTAACTACGGATATGTTTCTGGTGTGGAGAAAAGTTTCCTTGAGCCGAGTGCTCATTATCCTTACTTTAGACAGTTTTAACAAGAAAGGAAGTAAAAAAGAGCTTGGCAAGAATGTGGGCTCCTTGCCTTATGTAAGCTGGCCGACATCCCACCTCCTGTGGGGAGAGCAGAAAATGGAAGGGGGAGAAATGGTGGCGCTAAACTCCTGCCCACGGTTGCACATGGGAAGGAGGAGGAATCCATCGTGTTTGTAAACGGGCGAGAGAAGTGAATACACGCTCTTCGGGCGCCATTTTTGCCTTTCTTGCTCCACGTCTCTGATGGCTGCCACATCTTAAATCCCCAACAGCTCATTAAGAAAGAGGAGCAGTTTGCCCTGCTCAACAGGCCCTCGGATAGAGCCAAGCAACCTTCATAGTCAAGGAATGAAACCCAGCGCCTGGCCACCTTTCAGGATTCTGTCACTGACTTTCACTCCACAATGGCCCCCGGAGGTGAGAGACTAGCAGGGAATACCGTTCGGGCACACACGAGATCCTGTAGGACTCAGGAAGCCACAAGGAATATGTCCTATGAATTTATCTGAGCAATGAAATCCTTCAGCTGCCTTCTTCCAGGAGAGCGTGTTCTGGCTCTCACCGGCAGGACCTTGGTCTAAGCATTAAAACTTTTTTGTTGTTGTTTTGTTTTCAATTTGTGTTTCATTGTTTCTTCTTCCTATTTTACTGAATTCTTAAATGGTTATCATAAATTTACTTTTAATGTTCTTCCTTTTTCTTTCATTAAAAGAAAAGAAACATTGAAAGTGAGAAGGCCTTGAAGAATATCTAAGAAGTGAGAGTCGGCTTTCTTGTTCTATCTCCCTGACCCCATAATTTCCCATGAAACTTTTTTTTTCTTTTCAGAAAACAAAAATATTTAATCCTTTTCCCACAAATCAGAACTTGCTTCATCCTGCAAGCAGTTTGAACATTCTAGGTCGAGTGAACTGCAGGAGCAAAGAACCAGCATGCATGACTGGAAAGCACAGCAGGAGTAAAGCTGGAAAAGTGGTTTGGGGCAAGATTGCAAAGGCTCTTCAGGATCATAATTGATGGCGTTTGGACTTTGCTCCACAGACAATAGGGAGCCCTCAAAGTTTTCAAGTGATAAGAGATGCGATCATATATATATCCTTTTAGTGTCGAGGATGGAATGAGAATCAGTGTAGAGGATGGAATGAGTAGTAGTCCAAGATGCCACTTAGGAGGCAGTTCCAATAACTTAGGAGAGATGATGGCCCCAATTAAGGCAGCTTTGGTATAAACATTGGAAAAATTATGTTGGAGAAAGTATTCATGAGGCTTAGTCATACGAAGGAATAAAAAATAACTTGGAGGAGAATAATGACCTAAAGTGTAAGCCTGAGACAAAATCGGCACCATTAATCAAGCAGGGATTCATTGGAGGAGAGATATTTAATGTGTTTGTGTTAGAAATATTTAATTTGAAGTGTCCTTGTGACAGCCAAATGAATGTGTCCCACCAGCTAGAATCTTGGGGCAGGGCTCAGAAAAAAGGTTGAGACTAAAGGTGACTATTTGTAAGTTGATCAGCATAATCAAAACAGGTGAAATTTCCAAAGCGGATGAGGTTGCCTTATGCAGAGAGATTGTAGTAGCATGAAAGAAGAGATGGCCCAGGACCGAACCTTGCAGCGGAGGAGTCATCAGGAAAGAGACTGAAGAGGAGCCATCTGAGATAGAAGGGACCGTACTGTAGAAGCCGAGGAAACTTTATTCAAGAAGGAGTAGCTGCAAAGAACGTTCAAAGGAAACATTAAGTTTTGGCCATAAGGAAGTCTCTGGAGGCCTTTTGAGTAGGCAGTTTTCAAGAAATGAGGGGCAGGAATGAGATCCTAGTGACCGAGGCAGAGATGGGGAGGCAAGAAAGTATAAATGGAGCCCCAAAATTGCCCCTGGGAGATTTTGTAGTGAAGGAAAAAAGAGAAATGTAGCTTGAAGGGAAGAAATTTCTATTTTACTTAGTTCATTAGTTTGCAAAGCACTTTTACATCCATTACCTCATTTATTCCCCAAGATAACCCAGCTTGTAGGAAAGGCAAGTATTGATATGCCTGAGAACAAAATGAGGTTAAAAGAGGTTAAAAGCTTGCCGAAGGTCGTCTATAGCAAGTAAGTGGAAGACCTGAGTTTAGAATTCAGGTCATTTGGCTCTTAACTCAGTGACCTTTCTATTGTGTGGAAACAGCACTCTAAAGTGTTTGCTGTAGTTGGATATTGAACACTGGAGGGCACTGAGCTCCTTGGTAAAAGGGGTTTTGATCCTACTCAGGGAACAATGGGGAGCAACTGGAGGGTTTCGTGCAAAGGAATGCCATGTTTAAGTCAATACCAGAGGGAGACAAATCTGGCAGTGAGGTGTAGGATGCGTTAGGGGTGCCAACACCTCAGGGCACAGACCCTTAGGACGTGGCTCCAAACTGGGTCACAGCTTTGTGTCGCATTGCATGTTGAGAAAGCTATTTTGCTTTCAGTCTGTGGACCCTCTTTTGTTTGTGTTAAGGAGAGGGTCGCACTTCGCCAGTATCTTTTAACAACACCCCTCAAATACTCTCTACTCTTCCTTTTGAACAAAGAGAGAGCTAGCCTCAGGCTGAGAATAGCTGCAAGTAACTGGCTCTCGTTAGAATTACATTGCTTTGTGTTCACTCTATTTTTATGATCATTTTCCAGTTAGGACAAGTAATACTGATTATTTATTTATTTAATAATAGAAAGGTTACTATCTAAACATTTAAGTGAAACAAGTCAAATGAAGGAAAAATATTAAGTCAGTTCTAAGACAGGTGGTATACAATATGGAAAAAAACACGAACGTGCATCCTAATGACTAAAGTTTGGGAAATTCTCTCATCAGAGACTATTGCAGTAGGAGTAATGAGGGTTTAATCCAGGATGGGATGATGACACTGGAAATGGAGGAGAAGTCTCTGATGGATATTTGAAAGGAGTTAAAGGATTTAGGGTATTTTCTGTGTCATTTCTCAGGATCTTAATGGCTGCAATAATAGAAAACTTAAATCACAAAGGCTTGTGAAATACAGTGAATTTATTGTCTCACGTATCAAGCAGCCCCAACATGAGGCTGACGTGGCTGGAGCGGTCCTGTTGTGACGTGTGCAAGGAGAAAACATCTCTTCCAGAGAGGAAGTGTGAAGGCCGCAGAAACCTTCCTCTGAAGCCACCTGCACCAAAAGGTTTTCCTGCAGGATTCGTTGCCTCATAATACGTCACATATCATGCGTAAGCCAATCATTGCAAAGGGGAGTCAACTGACCGTAATCAACCTAGACTAGTTAGGATTTTTCTCTGCGCCGATGATAGCGACCCCTTCCTGAAGGATGGGTTTCTCAACATAACAGGAGCTCTGTTAACAAATATGGCTGGTAGGGAGTCAACTTTTACAACTTACACCAGTGGTTCTGAAATTCCTCAAATTAGCCGTTGGACATAAGTGGGACGTTCTTGAGGCTTGCGGGTTTGTTTGTTTTTTTTAAATTTTTATTTAGCTTTTCTCTCCATGTGTTGGATTAACGCAGAACGAAATACTTCCACTGCAAAATCAGCGTCTGGTTTAGTGACGCACATGGAGGGCGCAATGCGGAATGTCTGAGGAGACAAAGGAAAATAGAGCGACAGTTGTCATAGAATAAAATATGACTAGGGAGACACCAAAACCTTGCTTTCATGACATTTCTTATATTTCCCCCACGGATTGGTCTCCTTTCTCTCTACTCATGCTGTACCCGGGCCATTTATCCCCCAGCCTCCTGAAAATCCTGGTACCATCTGGCTCTGCTGCTTTTCCTTTCGGTCATCTGCTCACCGCTTGGTCCTTCCCGTCTTCACTGAGGTCCTACGTACCTATCTACACTGCATTTCTGACGTCGCCGAGGGCGGCCTCCGTGTCTGTGTGTACGACACAACAAACTAGCATCTCAGTTTCCTGCTTGCCACAAATCCCTTGACCTTCACCTGTACCCCTCCGCATCCATTCGCCCCCAAGGCCAGCGCCATGAGCCTCCCCTTTGCTAGGAATAATTCGATTTCTGATTCCCGTTACATCTGCCCTTTTCACGAAAACTTCAGTCTCCTCGTCCCTCCGCTATCTATCGCCCCACTCAGATCTTTTTTTTTTTCTACTCAGCTCCGAGCACATGGTTGATTGAACTACTCTCTCACCTGCCCCCTCACTTGGCTTGCATTTCCACCCTTCTGCTTCTGCACCCACGCTCAGTGTCCCAGCCCTCACTGACGCGCCAACATAGGTAGCTGAGGAGTTTGAAAGAAAATCACACTGCTGTGCAGACTGACGCCACTAGGCATGCAGGGTCTCTAACTTCTGCTGATCCCCTAAAGTTTTCTTGTTCTCTGTCAGGTTCCTTCCTCGTTCTCAACCTTTATCGTTCTTCTCAATTTCCTCACTCAGCTCCCACGCCTCTCACTCTATTTCATAGATGATCTCGCCTCATGCTTCTCAGAGCTGTCAGGCGAGAGCTTTCCATAAACTTGTTTGCTCCCACATCCGTTCTTGCATCCTGGCCCAAAGGTTCAGAGAACGAGGTGTCTCTACTGTTCAACTCCAAGTTTTCCACCCGCGCCCGTCACTCTTGCTCCGGGAAACATCCCCGTGTTCTCTTGCATCTTCAGCATCTCCTCAGGCTTCAGCTCTCATAACCCAAATCCAAACCACAGGAAATAAGAATCTGGTGCCTCTCCCTGGTTCCTTCTAGCTACCATGCAAATCCCATGCTCTCCTTTCGTCCAAACTTACGAAAAAGACTGGTTGATGTTTATCGACCATCATTTTTTTCACTCTACCCTTCCTCTGTTCACATCTTAACCCACTGCAGTCTGGTTTCTGCCCCGATCCACCTCTGACACCACTATAGCTAGAGTTACAGTGACCTCCTAAGTGCAGAATCCAGTGGCATGTTTCCACCTGCCCTTCCCGGCCTTCTCGGCTGCATTGGGCCCTTCGGTCCCTTCCTCTTCCTGAACCTCCCCTCTCTCGCATCCACGATCCCACACTCTCCTAGCTCTTCTCATACCTCTCCATCCTTTGATTTGTCACCCCCTTGGCCTTTTTTCTTCTGCCTGCCCTTTAAATGCGGGCGTACAGGTTTCCAGCCTCATCTCACTGCTCTTTTCATCTAGACGTACTTCCCAGGAGATGTCCTCATGTCGCCACTTATCTGCCGATGACTCCCATATCGTAATCTTCACCTCGGTCCCTTCCTCTGAGCTGTCAGCTTGTTTATAGAAACATGTCCATAAAACCCTTAATTGGAGCCAAAGCCGAACTCTTCCTCGGCCTCCTTAAACCAAATCAGAGGTGAGGGACTCGTCCTTTGTTCTCCCTCATTCTTAACATCCAAGTTCTGTGCATTTATTTCCCTTCCGGAATTGTTCTCAGAATGTCTCCTCTATCATGACCACTACTGCTCACGTTCACACAGCTTCATCAGCCCCCACCTAGACTACCAGCCTCCGGTCTTGTCTCCTCAGGCTTATCCTCCTCAGAGGACAGACTCAGAAATCAGACTGAGTTTGGGTCCTAGTTCTGCCACTTAGAAGCCGTGTGACTTGGACAATGTACTTAACCTCTGTGTCTCTTTTTCTTCATTTGTAAAATAAGCATAATAATAGTACTAATCTCATAGGCTTGTTGAGAACATCAAATGAGTCAATACATGTGAAGCGTTTAGAACAAAGCCTGACAAGCAGTGAGGCTTATTATTCCCACTCACTACCTCAAGCAAAGTACTCCAAGCACACCAGTGTGTGTGTAGCTCTTTGCACCTTGCAATGGTTCTCCTTGTTCATTGAATGTTTATTTCATTGTTTAAGGCTCAGCTTAGCCAGATCTTATTTATCATAGCAGCCTTTGTATCCAGCATAGCAACTACCGCTTAGCGCTTAAGTGTCTGCCAAATTACTAAGGAACAAGTAAGCAAGTAAACGATTAATGTTTTATGTCCATAAATGGCACATTCTGGGATTTTTAATCATGACTTTGACTTGAACAGAAAGATATTTGTGACCAGAATGAGAAAAACCTCACCGAGCATGTCCTAGCAAAAGTACTCATTTCGGTTTTGTGTGGGTACGGTTTGGTTTGGGTTGGGAGAGCTTTAGGACTATTTGTTTACAGGTGGAGGAGAAGCTGAGGAAACGTTGCAGATTGGAGAGAACACAGTGATATTTGCCTGAGGAACAAGGTGGAGGGAGTGTCCAGGGTCAAAAGTGCAGAGTGGAAGATCTACAGCTGAACGGGAGCGACACCTCGTTCTTTGAAACTTCAGGAAAGGGGTAAGACATGGATATGGGAAACACACGCGTTGATATAAAGATCGTGCCTAATAGCTTCCATTTTCTCTGAGAACTACGAGGCAAGGGTGTGCACTGAAATAGAGAGTTACAGGAATGGAGGAGGGAAGAATGACTAACATTTAAAATGGGAATGAAAGATAACAAAGGACAAGAACAAATTAGAGGAAGAGCAGAAGTTACCCTAAGTCTTAAATCCGGGCTACGGAGCTATTCCTTGGTGAGGACCGTCTTGCTGTGCAAGGGATCAGGGGGCAGATTGCTTTACTACTGGCTGCAGTAGTAGCCCATGCCCACAGGGCAGGCCGACACCAGAGTCCTGACTGTGGAGCCTT